CGATCGAATCTCGGGCAAGTAACATACCGATGACAAAGGGAATGACGTATGTTGTTGTGCGGTTTGACCGATAATGATCTTCGTAGAATATGTAGGAATCAATATGAGCATCTAGGTTCCGCTATTGGTTATTGACAGAAGATGTGTCTCGGTCATGTCTACATAGTTGTCGAACCCGTAGGGTCCGCACGCTTAACGTTCGATGACGATCGGTATTATTAGTTATGTGTTTTGGTGACCGAAGTTTGTTCGGAGTCCCGAATGAGATCACGGACATGACGAGGAGTCTCGAAATGGTCGAGATGTAAAGATTGATACATTGGAAGGTTATATACGGACACCGGAATGGTTCTGAAGAAGATCGGGGATTTTTCGGAGTACCGGGAGGTTACTGGAACCCCCCGAGAAAGTTAATGGGCCTATTGGGCCATGGTGGAGAGAGGGAGGCTGCCACAAGAGGTGGGGCGCCCCCAAGCCCAAACCGAATTGGACTAGGGTTGGGGGGCGCCCCCCCTTTCCTTCTCCCTCTCCCCCCTTTCCCCTTTCCCCTTTCCGTTAGTTGGAAGGAGGGGGGCCGAATCCTACTTAGACTAGGAGTCCAAGTAGGACTCCCCCCTTGGACTAGGAGTCCCCCTTGGACTAGGAGTCCAAGTAGGACTCCCCCCTTGGCGTCCCCCTGGGACGGCCACCACCTCCTCCCCCTTTATATACGGGGGTGGGGGGCACCCCAAAGGCACAACATCAATTGTCTTAGCCGTGTGTGGTGCCCCCCTCCACAGTTTACCACCTCGATCATATTGTCGTAGTGCTTAGGCGAAGCCTTGCACGGATCACATCACCAACATCGTCACCATGCCGTCGTGCTGACGGAACTCTCCCTCGTCTCTACTGGATCAAGAGCTCGAGGGACGTCATCGTGCTGAACGTGTGCTGAACACGGAGGTGTCGTACGTTTGGTACTTGGGTCGGTTGGATCGTGAAGACGTTCGACTACATCAACCGTGTTACATAATGCTTCCGCTTTCGGTCTACGAGGGTACATGGACACACTCTCCCCTCTCATTGCTATGCATCTCCTAGTTAGATATTGCGTGATCGTAGTAATTTTTTTGAATTACTATGTTCCCCAACACCATTTAGGTACAGTTCTTTGAGCTCGAGTCTATTAAGTAGTGCTCTGAACCCCGTGACCATCCGTCGGTTGATCGTTGCCTTATTCTTGTCATCGAGGTTGACAATTAGGTTGAAATCACCTAAGAGACCACGGCCCCACATGCAAGTCACGTACATCCCGAATCTCCTGCATGAACTCCACCTTTTCCGTATCACCTTGCGGCCCATAAACTCCAGTTAGCCACCACAAGGGTGCCCCCTCATGCCCGATTAGAGTTGTGAGTGTCTTCGCCGTAATGTGCTGGTTAGTGACAAAGACCACTAAAACATCCCACGCTAGCAAAATTCCACTACGAGACACGTCGGACATAGTAGAAATTTTCGGCACTGCCTTACAACATCGCTCGAGATCACTTTCAACTTTGTTTCCTGCAAGCAAAAATGAAACTGCTCCATGCACGACGTGTAATCCATTCAACAATTCCCTTTTATCTGATATCATGTGCGGCTGGATTTAACAGTTGTATGTGAATCGTCTTAAATCCGTTGTGTGCATAGCACTTCTCGGCAAACAAATGCTTACGCTTGCCACTACCACTACTTGATACACGATACTCCGCCACACGGGTGAGTTCAAGCCATACACATTCCACACAAGGACTACAAGGAGAAGTTACAACCCGAGACAAGTTTAAGCATCAGTTTCATGTTTTTAACTTCAGATTTAACACCAATGCGGTCTTTACGTATATGCAGCAAGATGTACCGCTGTGTTTTTGCCTGTGATTTTTTCTGAAGCCAAAACCTGTACTTGGATGCAACGATAGAGCGTACAATCCGTTTTCGTTTGGACCCGTCGGGCCGCAAAGAGCAAACAGTCGCGCGCCTTCATCCGAGGACATTTCAGTCCATCTCGGGCCCACGCACGCCTCCACCATCCGGCTGACTCCTCTCCAGCCAATCAGAGCACGCGACCCCCCTTCCCACGGATCACCCCTCAAACTTCAGATCCCAGCCGTCAACGCGCTGCACAATGTAGTGTGACGCTTTGCTGTCGGTCACCACACAAAAGGGCCAGCCAGGTGATTTTTTTTTCCAGGACAGTTCATTTTGTGAATTGATTTCGTCCACAGAACAAAGTTGTAGTTTTGCCTATCCCAAAACATTGGACACAATCAGGAGTGTAAAGAGAAGATATGCCCTAATGTATCTCAAACATGTGAAATGACCTGCCGGTTTTAGCCAGCTTCGATCCTGTAGCTTAAATGCCACCGTGTCAAAGTTTGAAACCAGTATTCCGGTGGGTTGCCTCTGCTAAGCACGAGATGGACTCGGAGATCTCATGTTAATAAGTTCGTTCAATTCAGCTTTGTGTATCTACCACTACCAGTTACACAAACAGTACAGTACATCAGTGCTGCTGCAAGTGCCCGTTCAGTTAAACTTATACTAGCACCAATTACCCTCCCACGTGAACGATCTCGAGAACACGGCACAGCAGTCCCGCCCACAGCCCAAAAATTTCGAGCTGGCGCCACAGCTCTGACCCAGCCCGCCAATCCACCGGTCCAAGCTTTCGGCCACGTCACCAATCCGCGGCATTCCTACCCGGATCGCCATCTCGACCGTCCACTCCATCCGCATCCAACGGCAAGTACATGCCTCTCGTCCCCTCCCGAAAAACCAAAACCCAAACCCGCCCGCTCTCTCGGTGCTCCTCCTATTTAACTCCGCCCCGTCCCCTTCTTCCTCCTCACCCCAATCTCCCCAGCCCCCAACCACCAGAGCCTCCTCCTCCCCTCCGGCGCATCGACGACATGGCCCGCACCAAGCAGACGGCGAGGAAGTCGACCGGCGGCAAGGCGCCGAGGAAGCAGCTGGCGACCAAGGCCGCTCGCAAGTCCGCCCCGGCCACCGGCGGCGTGAAGAAGCCCCACCGCTTCCGCCCCGGCACCGTGGCGCTCCGCGAGATCCGCAAGTACCAGAAGAGCACGGAGCTGCTCATCCGCAAGCTCCCCTTCCAGCGCCTAGTGCGCGAGATCGCCCAGGACTTCAAGACCGACCTCCGCTTCCAGTCCTCCGCCGTCTCCGCCCTGCAGGAGGCCGCCGAGGCCTACCTCGTGGGCCTCTTCGAGGACACCAACCTCTGCGCCATCCACGCCAAGCGCGTCACCATCATGCCCAAGGACATCCAGCTCGCCCGCCGCATCCGTGGCGAGAGGGCCTAGGCTGCTGCACCTGCAATCCGTGTTAGGCTGAGTTCATCGGTGGAAAATAGTGGTGTTTCAGAATGTGCGTCGTGTTAGATCCATGTTAGATCCCTGTTCCTCTCATGGTGGGTGGATGTGTTATGCCTAATCTGATGGTACCTTCTTGTTGCCATCAGCAATGGAAATGAAAAAATGTTGGTTGCTGTTGTCATACATGTGTTTGAATGCCTGATTCTCCCTGTGTATCCGAGCCTTTCCTCTTGAATTTGTTTGCACCAAATGTTGGATTAGATTATCAGATTTCTTACCTCTTTAAGCCGCGTGTTCTTGTGCTCTGATTTTGAGCATAAATCATCATTCGACTGCCAATATCTTCAATAAGCAATTCGGCTTTCTGCATCTGAACCTCTGAACCCGAACGAAAGAGCCGCCGATATGCTCGTCTTCAGTTCCGTCTACTGACCAGTTGCTGCATAACAGTACCTGTATGTTTGATGTTCAATCTTCAGTGCACACCAAATGTTTGAACGAACGAGCCGCCGATATGCTCGACTTTGCCTAATTATACTGCAATCCCGCAAGTCTATGAACCATGCTCTGAACTGCAAACATACGGATAGTACTACAAGTTACTTGGTGTCCTGTCTTCAGATTTTACAGTTCAGAAAAGGCTGCAGGATTCCACACCGTGCCTGCAATATTATTGGTTGCGTCACCCACAATTCCTAAATATCCGTTTCGAAAAACAATAACGCACCAAAACATTTCGTATCTCTATTCCTGGTTCTGCCACTGTCGAAACTGCAGAGTGGATTGGCCATTGATTGGGTCGAGCATCCTGAAACATGAGGTGGACACAAATCAGGAGTGTAACGAGAAGATGTGAAATGACCTGCCGGTTTTAGCCAGCTTCGATCTTGTAGCTTAAATGATGCCGTGTCAAAGCTTGAAATCGGTATTCTGGTTGGTTGCCTCTGATAAGCACGAGATGGGCTCGGGGATGTCAATAAGCTCGTTCAGTTACACAAACAGTACTGTACATCAGTGCTGGAAGTGCTCGTTCAGTTAAGTTTCTAGCACCAATTACCTGACCGCCAAGCTATTACATGTAATTATTGTAACGTGTTATCTGAATGCTTGAATCCTAAAAAAGTGAACTCCAGTAAGCGATGAAAAATGAGTATAGCAGTCACTGCATTCGAGCAAGTTTCCTGTAGATTATCTTCAGATCTCCAGAACAGTTAGGATGAAGGAATAATAATCAGTCATTGGAGGACATGCAACAGCAATGGAGCAAGTATATCCAGTTGACTTGATATTCTCCCACATGAAAAATCTCACCAACCATTTAAAAAAAAGAAAGAAAAAGAATCCCAAGAATACGACACCGGGCCCGCGCCCACAGCCCAAAAATTTCGAGCTGCCGCCACAGCTCTGACCCAGCCCGCCAAACCACCGGTCCAATCTCTCGGCCACGTCACCGATCCGCGGCATCTCTCCCCCGGATCGCCGTCTCGACCGTCCACTCCATCCGCATCCAACGGCAGCCACACGCCTCCTCCAACCTCTCGACCCCTTTAAGACGCCCTTCGCCCCACCCAGCAAATCACAGCACCAGACGCCACCCACCACCGTTCCTCCCATCCCACACTCGCTCGCAGCTCGAGATCGTCGGCCATGTCCGGGCGCGGCAAGGGAGGCAAGGGCGGCGCCAAGCGCCACCGGAAGGTCCTCCGCGATAACATCCAGGGCATCACCAAGCCGGCGATCCGGCGGCTGGCGCGGCGGGGCGGCGTGAAGCGCATCTCGGGGCTCATCTACGAGGAGACCCGCGGCGTGCTCAAGATCTTCCTCGAGAACGTCATCCGCGATGCCGTCACCTACACCGAGCACGCCCGCCGCAAGACCGTCACCGCCATGGACGTCGTCTACGCGCTCAAGCGCCAGGGCCGCACCCTCTACGGCTTCGGCGGCTAAGGGCCGGCCGGCCGACGGGAGTCACTCTTTGTCGCCGCCTGCAGATTCCAGAAGCCTGATGAAGCCCCGACTTGTTTAGTTCGCTATTTCCTCTGTAGTTTGAACTCAATCGTGGAACAAAGTTATTCGCATATATTGTTGGAAATGAAGCTTGTCTGTTGTCTCTGTGCTGATACCCTGTTTCTGATTTTGTCTCGCTGGTTGGTCTCTGTTGGGTACGATATTGAGGCGGCGATCAGTTGATTTGCCACAATTTACCAGGAGCCCCGTCTGAGTTGTACTACTTGTTTGCAGTCTTATTTATAATGTCAAAAAACGCCACGCTGTCTCAACAATTGTGTGTCTCGATTCAGCAACATCATTTGCTCTGTTTCTGTTATTTGATCTGATGCATTTATGCTGGGCACCATTGATGTTACTTCTGTGGTGCAATGTGGGTAATGGAGATTGGGATTAGTCTGCATTTCATAAATTTCTAGCTTGGAATACATATGAAGTCTAGATCGAGTAGCTATCCTTGACGAGAGTTTTGGGCGTATAAATTTGCTCTTTGACTTGTAATGTGAAACTATCTCACAGTGACCAATTCATGATGTGGTTCATGCTGACTGCTAGTATAAGATATTCAGGATAATAATTTGTGCTTTATTTCTGTTGATTTGTACATACTACAATAACCTTTTAATTGCCTGAATGGTGCTTCCAATTGTGGAATTGTGAATACAGATACAGATGCACGATACCCTCTTGGCAGTGACAGCAACTTCATCCTTCAGTTGAATTGATCAAGAGGTGCAATGATGTATTTTGTGTTGGATCTGTTATGAATTATATTCAGATATCCAAAGCAGCTTCGATAAATGAATACTAGCCTGTCCTGAGAAGACATGGTACAGAATTCAACCACCATTCCGCCAGAACGGCAATGGAACAAGCATATCTGGGTTAGATTAGATTATGCTCAATAGGCAGATTACAGTCTTCTCTATTTGATGACAACAGCTTTGTCACAACCCCACCTGACCAACCTCAGGAACGCCTTTATGAAACTGAGCGCCCGATACAAGGATTAGGTTGAGTATCACAAACACACACTTTGAAGACACAAACGCACAAGAACTTTCACATTTTGTACTATTAACACAACCAAAAATTGGCACTCCTGTTAAAAACATACATGTACACTGATTTATTGAGAAGAAATGAAAAATCACCATCAAGTATGGACAGTGAGGTGACTGAAGCAGCACCGAGATGGCAAGTTCCCCTGAAAAGCTCCGAGCAGCATCAAGTTCTTGGTGCTCCATTTACCCACTTCATAGCATCCCAGTCCGGCACCGATTGGAGCAACCGTGCTTTTCAAGGTACACAATACAGCAGTTCAGGTTGCTGTCATAGAGCGAAGGGAACACCAGAGTCGTCGGATAAGAACACGATTGCTCTGCTGCAAGTGCAATGGCCATATCGGTAATGCTTATGAGGGCTCTATCACATTATTCTTGATACGCTGGGGAAACACGACCCGCGTGCGACAGGCGTGTGCATCGGGTTGGCTAGCTTGCATCGTGAGGGAGTCAGTTTTAGTGCTGCCAGCTATATAAAATTTGACAAGTTGTTTTCAGCTATGGCATCAGAGTGTTCTTTTTGTGATTTTCATACTTATAGCAATGAGTTGTGCAGATTGATAATGGTCAAAATACAATTGGCTAAATCTGTTTTCACTAAATTAGTAGATTTATGTGTTCCATTGTGCACAACATAATATGTAGAGTACCCCGCAAAACACACACATAATATGTAGAGTAATATGCATGCAACAACGTCTACACGTACTCAGTCAACCAGCACTCTGCACTAGAAGCTCTTAAAAAATTTGTGTGGGTACACTTAAGTAGTAACCTTATATGTGTATGAATATCACAAATAAGATATATGATCTTTTTCTCGAACTTGTAAATGATCTTAGCTACCTCCAATTTCAGAATGGTCACATATTGCTATTACTGGGAATGTTTTTGCCGTTGCAGGTTCAACTTACTCTCCACTTCTGTAGGCATGGAATTGACTGGCCTCTTGATACATTTCTAGCTTTCTGAATTTCTCTTCATGTTGCCACAGAAACATATCATTTTCTTTGGCAAATCAGTGTAGAAATCCATGGTTTCTCTGTAGCAATAGACAGACACTGGTCTCTGTTTTCAGACCGTTTCTTCCATTTCTTTCTTGATGGTCTTGGATAACTGAGTATTCTAATATGAAATTCTTCCGACTTTGTATGTAGCTCACTTGCATGGGAAGTTTATTCCAGCATGCGTTGAAGACGAAGTATAACACATACAGTGGGTGATGTCTCATAAGAAAAAGTAAGCCACATGAACTTAGTAACTCACAATTTACCATTCCACGATGAATCGATTCTGATTGGTATATGTGAGACACCTAACTTTGTTAATAAAAAATATTCATTTTTTACTTAGAACCAAAACATCGATTCATGTTGCTACCTACATGGTTACAAGTCATGTTGAATGCTGAAAATAATTCTGAAAAGAACCACATGTATTGATTGGTTTCGGAAAAATTGATGATGAATTGGTTTTAGAAAGAAAGAAAAAATCATCTATGTATATGAATAGGGAATTGGTAATCTTGGATTGACATGCCATGCATGACTTGATTTCCTGTCACATACATGAAACTTTATCAGCTAAAGAGAATCTATTGGTTGTCATTTGGTAAGCATAAGGGTTCATTATTTTGGTGTGCAAATAAAATTAACCTATATATATATCACCTCTACTGGATATCTTATTTTAACCTTATTGTTTTATATTGAGAGGTTAAGTCTCTAAAAGCTAGTATCAATCTCTTTCTTTGTACAATCAAATTCTCTAGATAATATGCAAACCTGACTCTTTGCATGGTGTCGGTACCGTAAATAGCTGGTTCACGGAACCAACTGCGCACGGGCCACAAATAGCCCCCCCCCCCTCTGTCCAGGAGGAGAAATGCCTAAGGAGGAGTTCCAACAAGAAGCTCCGTGGTGGCATGCAGATCTTCGTCAAGACCTTTGTCATGCAAGATTAGCTCCAAGACCCTTCGGCGACAAGCTTGAGGTGGCGAAGGCAACCAGGAACGAAGCTGCCCGACAATGACTATTCCAACCCCCAGAAGACTCAGACCGCGGCTCTCCACGTGTGGCATGTAAGTTCTTCTCCTACAGACCTTTTGTGACACATTGCGAGCAGGCTGCCTGGGCGATGGAATTACAACGGTGCGAGGGTCGAGTCATCCGCCCACCTACCACAAGAAAGACATCTCAACAACACATGGCTTAACAAGACCCAGTCATCACCTTGAGCGGCGGTGAAAAGGCGGTTGTTCGTTCCGGGGAGTCATAAGACGATGACACTTCATCGTGCTTTAATGCATGTACCTACCTAGTCAGACGATGTAGGTTCCTTAGTAGCGAAGCCATTATGGTACCCCTTGATCTATAAAAGGACGACCGGGCTACTGAGAAATAGGTTGGACACTTGGTAAAACACCAATAGGAGCCGCACTACTCTCTCTGTTCTCGGAAAGGACTTGTAGCTCTCCGTCCACCAAATAAACCACATACAAAGTAGGAGTAGGGTGTTACGCAACCATGCAACCTGAACCTTGGTACAACCAAAGAGATTACATATGCACGCTACAACATGAGGAGAGGAACAACCGCCACAAGAAGACAACGTCCTTATCGCACAGCTTGCGTAAGTGCGACCACAAATCTAAGTTTGAGACAATAAGTTTGAGAATGAGGGAGGAGTGTACATTAGTGTTCTTGAAGGCCTTTTCATTTCTAGCATCCCAGATACGCCAAAGGATCGCAAATAGAATGAATGGACACACTCTATCATCAAGTCCACGAGATGTTGCAGCATCCCAAAGTAGTGATGTGTCGGTGAAGGAGAAGCATAGGCCGAGACGTTGCCAAATTCTGTTTGCGAGTGGACATGAGATGAATATGTGATATGTGCCCTCTTCTTGATGAGTGCATCTTGGGTAGTCCGAGTTTGGAGTGATTGATTTGTGTGCAAGGTTAGCCTTTGTATCTGAGTCCGCCCTTGAATGCCAACCATGCAAATACCTTGATCTTTTTTGGTACCATAGAATGCCATATCAGCTTTGCGTTCCTATCTTCATCCACCTCCTTAGATATCAGCTCATATGCTTTCTTTGTTGAGAAGGTGTGTCCCCCATTAAGGAAGCAAGTGTCCGACTCATCTGAAAGCATAAAGTCCTGCAGCAAAGACAAAAGGGAGACCCTTTCTGTGGAGGCAGAAGAGGTTAGGCGACCCACTCTAACAAACGACCCAATGGAATGCGAGAAAATGCAAGGAAAAGTTTTTGAAAGTGGTTGTGGCGTGAGCCAAGTGTCTAGCCAGAAACAGGTCAGTGAGCCATTGTTTGTTAGGACAAAGGAAATGCTTTGTAGGGTTGGCAAATGGTTTTTTATAGTTTAACAAAGAAAAGATTTGTGGATGGAGGGGGAAATAAAAGCATTTGGGTGTTGCAGCGAAAGCCAGTCGAGCCAAGGAGAAGTGGAGGGGAGAAGTAGGGAGTCAAGAATGGCCATAATGAGGACAAGTCTGTCTCCTCTTGACGAGTTATATACCCAAAACCACCACACTTGGGGCTAGGGTAACCGGTCGGTACCACATTTAAGCCATGTCACAAAAAACCACCAACTGTGGGACTAATTGGTACCACGGAGCACTGGCTGGCCGTTTTAGCCGCGAAAACAGCGAAACCGACAGGTCAGGCCCACCTATCGGGTCGATGTGGCGCGGGCTGACGGACGCCGTTAGACGGAGGGGGACGGCCGTTTCCGCGCCCGTGTATTAGGTCACACCCCTGCCGTTTCGTCCTCCAATCCCCGATTCAGTTTCCCTCTCGCGCGTTCCTCCCGCTCTACTCATGGCGACCAGCTCCGGCGGCGGCTATGGCGGAGAAAG